CCTGGCCCTGTTAGGGCGAGGTGGTGTGAAGGGGGGGGGCAAGGCCAAGTCAAACCCTGCGTCTGCCTCACAGCTTTTGCACGCACCCGCCTCGTCTTTATTCATGGCGGAACAGCATGCGGACATACCTGTTGTTACTCCTGTTATCGTTATTATTTTTAACGAGTGCCCGGAGCTCATGAATCTGAGGGGCGTCGGTGGGAGGTTTAGGTGCTGGCCGTCACTGGCAGAGGTGCGGTGGCGATAACCCCAGGGAGGTACCGGCGCCTTCAGGCCTGTTTGGCCAGTGCTGGAACTCCTAAATCTCCCCACCAAAACTCCTGAATTTTAATTTTTTCCACGAGTTTTGATGTCTGTGTGTATGCAGCGTCTGTATACATATATGTTTACGTGTCTGCGGCACAAAACCAAGCCGAAACTGAATAACGAACTGCCAAAGTTCGTAACTGAGCGTGGTGCTCCCTCTGCTGAGCGCTGCCGTTTTGCTCCACTTCAGAAACGATGCACTTTAATTTTCAGAAGTGGCTTCTACAGCAGATAAGGTTCCCCCATTACATTAAAGCTTTACATTAACCTTTGTAGTAATGTCAGGCCAGTTGAGTGATGAGCTAGCCTTGCGAGGGGAGACTGTTTAGGGTATTTTCAGGAGCTACTTTTTTTTTAATACTCGTGAAAGGAGGTGATAACAGCAACGAATAATGCACTCCTGCATGCTTTTTCTTCTATAGTCATGTTGGCCTTTGTAAAGGGGGTGTGAGATGCTACCAAATAAAGTTTTCCACTTCTCTACAGTTGAGTGTGATTCTTTAACTCGGAAATCGAGGCAGGCTGATGGTTTCCGTGCCTGCAGAATTGAACCTTGGATAATGGTGCAACAGACAAGGCAGAGGGTTTAGCCCAGCTCAGACAGAGACCAAGGGAAGGTCCTGCTGCTTCAGCAATGCAGGTAATGCTGTTCAAGATGCCTTCAGAGGCCAGAGGCATCTGGGTGATGTTGGCAAGCATGACACAGAATGTAGAGAAGGTCCTAAGCTTCTTGAGCAGCAGGTGGAAGGCCAGGCAGTGTGGTGTAGGGCATCTCTGCCAGTTTTAAATGCTACTGGTTAGGCAGCTGAGTCACACCTGGTCTGCCCCTTGCTCTGTTGTTTAGTTCAGAGGTTATGAAAGGATGGAAAGTAGTCTTTCAACTTCAATTTCTGTGCTCATTTGCCTAATATTGGGCCGTGACTTCTTGGCTTTTGCCTGGAGAATGTGGGAGTTTATGAGGACCTGACTAAAGGCCTGACTAAACTCGGAGCTGCTTTACCCTGAATCAGACGGAGTCTTCCAGTGTGCAGAGGTGTAGGTGTTACGGGAGAGGCCTGAGCCTTTCAGTTCAATACCCATTTCTTCTGGCTGGGCCTGTTCTGCAGAGGCTGCATGACAGTGGTCTGACTGGTGTGGGTGGTGTACATAGCCTCCATGCTTTTCCGTCTGAACCAGATTTGCATGGTTCCAAAGAGAAAACCCATCCCGTACTTTTATTCTCTTTCTGTAACCCCACCTCACCAAATCAAAGATGTGTCTCTCCTGTACTTTCCTGTGAAGTAGTTTGAGACCATTTGTCCCCCTCCCCAGAAGATGAGGACCTGCACATGGGTGGTCTGTAAAGCTATTGGCCTCTGTTCTCCTGTGTATGGCAAATAAAGTTGGGCAGGCCAAGCCTTTTGGACCAAATCTGTTAACTGGACAGGTTGGTCATGGTAAGCTTGCTGAACAAGCCTGCAAATCAGATGAATCATGGTAAGGATAACCCATTAGATGCACTTAGGGGAATGTACTTGATGTAAACTTTTCATGCCTCTTTTCAGGAGACTCCCCCCGCTCCCTTCCATTTATCTTTTGTTGGTTTTTTTTGTGTCTTGCTGCACTTTTTTGGTCTAAGCAAGTTTGAGATTTCTTGATCATTATTTAACTAATGAAGGTTAAGGAGACTGTTGCCCTCTGTGCGTTTAACCCTAGTTGGAGATTAAGTGAAGAATCCTCAATAAGAAAACTATTTTGAACTGTTTGTCTTTAGAAGCAAGTGTGGTTTTGTCAAAGAATGAACTGTGGACTGTGTGTAGGTCTGCCATCAAGAAGGGAAAATGATTATTTAAGAAGGTACCAAGAGATTCAGGAAGGGAAGGGTGAAAAGCAGAGTATAAAATATGCAAAAAGCCCTTAGCGATTGGTATGGCTTTGAAGGGAAGTGGGAGACAGTTGCTAAGAAATCTGTAATAAAAAATAATTTTACGGAAAGGAAGATTCCTTTATAACCCATTGATCTTTTCAGCCTCTACACTTTATGTTTCTGAAGTCTTGTGAAATAATTATTTCAGTAGTCTCCTCCTTTTTCTGAAACTGTCCTGTTAAGAGTTTTGTCACTAGTGAGATTGCCTTCTCATTTATGTTGCCTCAGTTGCATGTTAGCATGGTTATGCTTGAATTAGCTCTGAGTAAGAGCCCCTAGGAAAGGGCAAGAGTCTAGTGGTGGTAGGATGGATCTTGGTGCTGAGTAATTTATTAGGTTTTTTCATCAGGCTCAGATGTTAACGTGATTTTTGTGTGGTTAGGATAGTCAGTGTAAAAAAAATTGGTCAGGTCAGTGTAAAAAAAATTGAATAATGCTGTTTGGCTAGGAGCTCGGGGTTCAAACTGTTACGGCCATGCATGCGCTATCTCAAACTTGATAGCAGGCATCTGAGCCTGTTTCAGGATAGAATTGTTGGAGCCTACTATGCCAGTAACTTGCTAGGCTTGCTTGAATTTGTTGTTGCCAATTCATTTTCTTTGACAAGTGTTTTAATTCATTTGAGGCTGCTGTAAAACCAGGTTTGGGAGTGAAAGACCAAGGGTAGTAGGAAGAACCAACAAATGGTGAGGAGTGGCAAAAGACTGAGTATTTACTCTGCTCCTTTTTGGAGGATTAGAAACTGTTATTTCCACTGGGTACTTTTGCCATTCTGATTCACTTTAAAGATTTTTCTCTTTCAGTGCACTTAATGGTTTTGCATGTTGATGATGTTAATGCTGCAGCAGTCACAGGGAATACATACTTAGAGCTCCTATGCAACTCTTTAATATTTTTATAACAATTTTACTAGAATATTTGCATTTGTTTAAAAGAAAATATTTGCTAAGTCATTCAATACATAGTTGCATCAAATACTAATATGATTTTTTTTTTTTTTTTACCTTTGCAATTTTCCTGTGTTTTGTAATATTATCATGATTGTGTCTGCAGTTTAGGTATTGGGAGGCAGCTATGCAGTCTTGCAAGCCAGAAGGTATGGAAGTGGATGATTGACTGTTGAAGCAGTTGACACATTTAAATAAGTAAATATAGTGGTGATTGGCATAGTTGTTGTGTTGTTTTTTTTTTTCTTAAACAGAAACAAAAACATTTTTTGAGGTGAAGAGAAGATGAGGTGAAAGGATTGTTATCAGATCAATGGTAATAAAAGAATGGAAAAGGACAGACAACTGCAGTTGAATTGTCTACCTGTACTGTTAGGAGGATTTCTGGGAGAGAAGAAACCCCTAAAATATGAGTAAGGGATTATGCTATAGGGAGAGAAAAAGAGAAGGGCAAAGTCTAGCCACATCAATGTCTGAGAGCTTTGTCATAGTCTCAGGTGAGGTCTGGACTCTTCCTTTGGGTTTGAAGGAAGGGGGAAGGGAGAAAGGAAAAGAAGGTAGGCTTGGAGGGATGTAGGAAGGTAAGGTATGATCTCAGTATAGTGGTAGACCAGAAGTGGCAAAAGATGCAACAAAACCTGGAGAAGGCCAGTGACCCTTAAGTAACTCACTGGTAGGTAAATGCTGCGTTGCCACTAAATTCAACAGTTAATATACATACACAGTTTTCCATTCCTTCTCATGAGAGGAATGTCATTTGCGTGAAGCTTGGCCTTGGGAGATGTGCTAAATAAGGTGTGGAGCATCCTGGTCACTAGTTCTTGGACGTCTAAGTATTGAACACACTTTTCTACTCTCAAAAAAAGCAATTTTTGCCAAATGACATCCTCACTTGAAAGTGGCAATTAGGAAAAAGGAGCCGAATGGGGACAGTTCATCTCCAACTCAAGCATTCGGTGAGGCATGAATAACTTAGAATCTAGCATGATACAAATCTCATGGCAGCTCCACATACATTTTTTCTCTTGTTCTGCTCTGGAGAGACTGTAGAGAGAAGGAAATTAACTGAAACTACTATGTGAAAACAGGAGGGGCAGCCAGGTTAAAAACTGCAAATGGATGTAGTCATATTGTGAATAAAGGAGTGAAGAGGAAGAGAAAAACTGGAAAATGAAATCTAGCATCATGGCAGACTTTATAAGGCTTTATTTTGGGGAGGGATCCTCCTAATAAAAGAGAGTTTAGTAACAAAACCAGAGATGGGGAAAACTGTGCTATTGACTGAGGAAGAACGTACTTTGCAGACTCAGTTTTGTCAGCCCCAAATAATAAAATCTGGATTATTGGAAGTCCTATATTCTATCCTAGTGCTGACATATGAGTTGGGGAGGCTATCTCTCTAGAGCAGACTAAAGTATTTAATTTTTCAAGCAGGACACTTACTATCTGTTGTTACTTCTGCTTCCCAGATCACCAGCATGGAAGTTAAAACCAGCGAAGATCATTTGAAAGTCCATAAAATGAAGAAGAAGGTATTGAGGAAGCAGGTCAGAGCTCAGCACACATTGATGAGACATGAGGGCATTGAGTGCATCTCCCATGCTACACAGGTGACTGGCAGTTCTGATCTTGGTGGTGGTGTGAAAATGCTGCTTATCTGTGTTCTGGTCTCACATAGGCTTTGTCTAAAATGCAGTTCTCCAAAATGCACTGCCTGAGATTGAGGGTTTTCTGTGCCTCTTTGATTTCAAAGCAGAACTGTACTTCACCAGTTTAATGTCAGTGGAGAGACTTTGATGGTCTTTGGATAAATTTTGTTCTTTTTTTTTTTTTTATCTGAAATAGTAGTTGCTTGGGGTGGGGAGGAGCAGGAAGCATGGGAAATGTTACCTTGTTGAAGTAGATAAACTTCTCTCTCTGTGTGTGATTTCTTTTCTTCTCTGGCTTTTAGCTTTTGTATCTTTCTTTCCCCTGTACTTCTCTAACAAGTATGATTTGTCTCGTTTAAACTCCCTGTTAAAAACATGTCTGTCTTAGAAATCTTTTCCACATTGTTTTATTCACCTAAATTGATTTAGGCTGTAGTTCTGTGGGAGTTGAACTGATTGACTTGCAGCTGTTGAAAAGGGGACAACTTCCTCTTCCCTTGCACAAGGGTGACAAGATAGGAGGGAATTCTGCTTTCTTAGAATGCTCAATGAACTTTACCTTAAGCCACTTTATTCCCTAACCTAACAGAAAACTACTCAGCTTTTTGATCTGTAGTTTTCTGCCACAGTAGAGAGTTACGGCAGATCAGATGGTGATCTCATAGATACTGGTGTAGCAAAAAGTGATAGGACCTTGCAGATAGAAAGGGAAGAAGTTAGTGAGTTTATAATTTCCCTCCGTCAGTTGTGGGGAGCTGCTAATAGCTTGAAACACTATAGAGCAGTATCGTTTACTCTAGCCTTGTTCATCTTCATCCTGCCAATTCTCCCCATTCAAATATGGAAACATCAGTTAGATCTTTATACTTATTTTGTAACAAAAACGGGCTTATTATTCACTCAGATTTCACACCACGTGGGCGTATGCTAAAATGACCCAGCAATCTTTTGTATATTGTAAGCTCTTTGGAGCAGGGACTGTGTTTTTCTAGTATTCTTGGAAATGGATCTGTAATCTGGGACTTATTCCCTTCGACACTGCCCCAGATACCAAATTATCCATCTAATCTAACCATAGAGTAATTTTTGGGTCCAGCAAGATCCTCATCGATGATAGAACATTTGAATAAGTGTTGTACGAAATAAAATCATAGTACTAGTGATAAACTTGTGTCAAGAATACAGAAAATGCTTTCAGGCTTTGTGCAAGAGTCTCATTATATTGAAATTGCTCAGTCAGGAGAACATGATCAGTTGCTGTACATGGTGGTGTTGTGTAGTCACCGTCTTTGTAGATGAAGAGCCTGCCACCAGTGAAAGCACTGGTTTGAGTCTCTGCGTTTCCTCTACACGCATGGGCTTCTCCATCATTGTGGTGAATGGAGTTAAATCCAGTTGGCGGCCAGTCACAAGTGGTGTTCCCCAGGGCTCAGTACTGGGGCCAGTTCTGTTTAATATCTTTATCAGTGATCTGGATGAGGGGATCGAGTGCACCCTCAGTAAGTTTGCTGACAACACCAAGGTGGGTGGG